CCATTGCACTTGGCACTGATAAAAATACAAATATATTTTAGAATGACATTTGAATTTGGAAATATGCCCAGTGTTACTCTTTACTCTGAATAGAAAGAACAGCTTGTGGTTCTGGGTAAAAATATGATTGCTTATACCTAATATACTTTCTAATAGGCAAATTTCATGTGCAAAAAAAATCTAGTTACCTATAATTGTAAGGTCAATTTTTTTGTGAATTTTCCCTTTAAAAAATAAATTTAGGGCTGGGCACAGTGGTCATTGTCTGTAATCCCAGCAATTTAGGAGGCCAAGTCAGGCAGATCTCTTGAGCCCAGAAGTTTGAGACCAACCTGGGCTACATGGTAAAACCCCATTTCTACAAAAAACACAAAAATTAGCCAGGTGTAGTGTTGCATGCCTGTGGTCCCTGCTACTTGGGAGGCTAAGGTGGGAGGATCACCTGAGCCCAGTAGATTGAGGCTGTAATGATCCAAGATTGCATCACTGCACTCCAGCCAGGGCAATGGAGAGATACTTTGTCTCAAAAATAAATAATAATAATAGGAGTATTTTTAGAAGACAGGATGACAGACTAAGAATAACCAGAAATCTAGCTCCCTACCTAAACAACAACTGTACTGACAGAATTTATCTGATGTAACTATTTTGAAACTGTGGAGCTTACTGAAGGCTTGCACCTTCCAAAGGAATGCTTGTTTAGTGAATTGCTATTACTTTTGTCAATTTTAGTTCTTAGCACAGGAGTAACTACCCATCCCCCACACCTAGTTCCTTGGCAGGGAGCCATGCACATGTTCCTGGAGCAGCTTGAATGCAATTTGTGGGAATCAGTGTGACAAAAAGGACACTGTTCTCCAAGCATCAAGATCTGAGCTTTGATTACTGATTGTTGTTTCTGATCTCAGAGGTGCAAAGAAGCAGGCAGCTATTGCTTTGTACCTTCTCAAATTGCTGCTATTCCCTCCTACCTCCAAATGAATCGACTTCCAGGGGATTTTAAGGGCCACTGCCTCTTCCCTCTTCCCTTTATTTTTCTCTTTTTGCCTTTTTGGGAGCCAGACATTAAAGTCTGTGACGTTCAAAAGCAGCTGTATATGTGAGGAAAATTAGAAAGTGACCACTGTTAAAGCAAACTAAATATAGCGTGAGAAGAACTCTGTACTTCTATATTTGCATCCTTGTGGATGAACCTAGCTTAATAGTCAAATGAGAGTGAAAACCTAATTTAAGAGTATGCACCTGTAACAATAACTCAGTCTTGGGTAATCCCAGAGGCCATACTTCAACCACTCATAGACTGCTAAGTGTTCAAACTGTGTTCCAATAAGGCAAATATGAGCCTGTAACCAATCCATCTGTTTCTGTGCCTCAGCATCAATTTCTGCAGGCTATTTCCCTTTTTTTGTCTATAAATCTTCTTCCACTATATGGCTGTGCTGGAGTCTCTGGGAATCTGCTATGATACTGGGGGCTGCCCAATTTGCAAAACATTCATTGCTCAGTTAAACTCCTTTAAATTCCATTCAGCTGATATTTTTCTTTTATCACCACACAAGCCCATGGGATACCTGAGAAGACCTTAAGTATATACCTCAGTCTGATTTTGACACAGAGATAGCCTAGAACACTCAAATTTTAAAAAATCATTAAACAACAAATAGCCAAAAAGCAGCAAACGCAGGGAAAGGGAGGAGAATCTGGTTTCTAGAGTTACCACTTTATTAAATTTAGATGCCCAATTAAAAAATCACAGGGCATACAAAGAAACACAAAACAATGGCTCATTCAAAGGAAAGAATAAATAAATCAACCAAAACTGTCCCTGAGTAACACAGATGGAAGATCCACTAGATAAAGACTTTAAAACAATTACCTTAAATATATTTTAAAACCTAAAAATCAAGAAAATGATGAATGAACAAAATAGAAATATCAGTAAAGATATCAAAACCTAAAAAGAAACCAAAATTAAATTCTGGAGATGTAAATGTTATAACTAAAACAAAAAAATTTTCCTAGAGAGATTCAAAGGCAGGTTTGAACAGGCAAAGAAATAATCAGTGTTCACTTGAAGGTAAGATAACGAAAATTATTGAGTCTAAGGAACAGAAAGGAAAAAATATTGAAGAAAAGTGAACAAATCCTAAGGGACCTGTAGCATACTATCAAGTAAACCAACATACACATTGTGGAAGTTTTAGAAGAAGAGAGAACGAGGTAGAGAGAATATTTGGAGAAATAGTGGCTGAAAAACTTCTGACACTCGATGAAACACTTGAATATAAACATCCAAGAAACACAGCAAAATCCAGATATGATGAACTCACAGAGAACCACACTGAGATACATTATAATCAAATCTTTGGTTGACAAGGACAGACTCACTACATAAAAGAGATTTTCAACAAGATCATAAGTAGATTTCTCATTAGAAACCTTGGCAGCCAAAAGGCATTGGGCCAGTATATTCCAAGTGCAAACAAACAAACAAACAAACAAACAAAAACCCTATTTACCAAAAATTCTATCTCTGGCCAAATTGTCCTTCTAAAGTGAGAAATTAAGACATACTCCCAGATGACTGGGCATAGTAATTCACACCTGTAATCCGGTACTTTGGTAGCCTGAAGCAGGAGGATTGCTTGAGGCCAGGAGTTCAAAACCAACATGGGAACATGCTGAGACCTCATCCTTACAAAAACTAATAGTTAAAAAAAAGGGCATGATGGTGCATGCCTGTAGCCCTGGCTACTTGGGAGGCTGAAGTGGGAGGATCACTTGAGTCCAGGAGTTTGAGGCTGCACTGAACTACAATTATGCCACTTCACTTCAGCTTCCGTGACAGATCAAGATCTTGCATCTAAGGAAAAAAAAAATATTCCCAGAAAAACAAAAAACAAAAGTGATGAAGTTCAGGAGTTCATTACCACTAGAGCTGCCCCAAAAGAAATGCTCAAGGGAAGCCTGCAGTATGAAAGGAAAGTACACTGGATAGTCATTCAAAGACATATGAAAAAATATAACTATCTCAGTAAAGGTAAATACATGTGCAATCATAAAATCAAGTATTGTTGTAGTAATGGTTTATAACTCCATTTTTTGTTTTCTACACAATTTAAGAGAAAACATTTTAAAAATTATTACTCAAAAACCTAATATTGTAACTTTGGTTGGTAACTCCACATTTCATTTTCTATATAATTTAAAACACTCATGTATTTTAAAGAATTATTTGTTTATGTTTTGGGGTGCATAATATATAAAGATGTAATTTTATGACATCAGCCACTGAAATAAGTGGGGATAAAGATATAAAGGAGCAAAGGTTTTGTATATTATTAAAGATAAGCGGATATAAATTTAAATTAGAGTATTATTACTTTAAGATGTTAAATGCAATCCTCTTGACAACCATAAAGAAAATACAGAATATATACACAGGAAATGAGAAATAAATTTAAACACTTCACTGCAAAAGATCAACTAAACGCAAAAGAAAAAAATAATGCAGAAACTGAGGGATAATAAAATATAAGGCATACAGAAAACAAATAGCAAACTGACAGAAGTAAGACTCTCCTTATCAGTAATTACTTTAAATAAATGTGGAGTCAACTCTCCAATCAAAAGACACATACTGGCAAAATAGATTTTAAAAACACATGATCCAATTAAACGCTGTCTACAGAGACTCATGTTAGATTAAAAAATACAAACAGATGGAAAGTGAAAAGGTGGAATGATAGGCCGGGTGCAGTGGCTCATACCTGTAATCACAGCACTTTGAGAGGCCAAGGTGGGTATATCATCTGAGGTCAGGAGTTTGAGACCAGCCTGGCCAAATGGGGAAACCCTGTCTCTACTAAAAACAGGAAAAAAAATAGCTGGGCATGGTGGCGCAGGCTTGTAATCCCAGCTTCTCTGGAGGCTGAGGCAGGAGAATGACTTGAACCCGGGAGGTGAAAGTTTCAGTGAGCTGAAATTGCACCATTGCACTCCAGTTTGGGCAACAAGAGCAAAACTACATCTCAAAAAAAAAAAAAATGTGCAATGATAGAAAAAGCTATTCTGGCCTGGCATTGTGACTCACACCTGTAATCCTAGTACTTTGGGAGGCAGAGGTGGGCAGATTGCCTGAGGTCAGGAGTTCAAGATCACCCTAGGCAACATGGTGAAACCCTGTCCCTACTAAAATACAAAAAATTAGCAGGGGTGGTGATGGGCACCTATTATCCCAGCTTCTCTGGAGACTGAGGCATGAGCATTATTTGTACCCAAAGGCAGAGGTTGCAGTCAGCTGAGAGTGTACCACAGCATTCCAGACCGGGCAACAGAGGGAGACCCTGTCTCCCCCCAAAAAAAAAAAATAATAATAATAAAAGTGTGTTTATTAAAAAGAAAAGATAAAAGAAAAAGTTATTCCATGCAAATAGTAACCAAAAGAGAGCAGCAGTGGCTGTACCAATATAAGACAACATATACTTTAAATCCAAAAAGTTAAAAAGACATAAATAAGGACATTATAAATTAAAATGTTCAATACAGCAAGAAGATATAAAAACTCTAAACACTCCAGCATCTAATAACAGACCATCAAAATGTATAAGGTAAAAGCTGGCAGAAATGAAGGGAGAAATGTAGTTCTACAATAATAAAGATTTCAATACTCCCTTCTCAATAATGAAGACACCAATCAGACACAAGGTAAGAAAGGAAATAGAAGACAACACAATAAACCAATCAGAGCTAACAGACATATGCAAAACACTACCCAACATAAACAGCATACCCATTCTTCTCAAGTACACATGGAATATTTTCCAAGATATATCATATATTAAGTCACAAATTCTCCATAGATTTTAAAAGATAAATATTATGCAAATTGTCTTCTCTGACCACAACAGGATGAAATTAGAACTCAATAACACAAGGTAAACCAGAAACTGTGCAAATCTTTGGAAACTGCACAACACACTTCTTTTTCCTATTTTTCACATCAGGCAAGTAATGTGCCTATGTTTCAAGAACCAGGTTTAAGAAAGGCACATCTCATCCATGTACATGAAAACCCAATCATCAGGCTTGTGAGCTATAAAAGGATCACACAGCACATTCTTCAATAACCAATGGGCCAAAGAAATCACAAAAGAACATATAAAATAATTAAAGACAAATGAAAATGAAACTACAACATACCAAAATGTACGGTAGACGGCAAAATTGTTGCTAAAGTAAAAAACTGTGGCCTTAAATGCTTAATGTTAAACAAAAATCTCTCAAAACAACAGCCTCACTTTATTCCTTAAGGAACTAGAAAAAGAAGAACTAAACTCAAAACTTGTGAAAAGGGAAATAATAAAGATTAGAGCAAAGATAAAATAGAGGATTAAAAACTAGAGAAAATCAATATAAACAAAAATTGATTCCTCAAGATCAGCAAAATTGATAAAATTTTAGCTAGATGAACTAAGAAAAAAAGAAAAATTTAAACTAATAAAATCAAAGTGAGGCCGGGCACGGTGGCTCAAGCCTGTAATCTCAGCACTTTGGGAGGCCGAGGCGGATGGATCACGAGGTCAAGAGATCCAGACCATCCTGGTCAACAAGGTGAAACCTCGTCTCTACTAAAAATACAAAAAATTAGCCGGGCATGGTGGCGCGTCCCTGTAATCCCAGCTACTCAGGAGGCTGAGGCAGGAGAATTGCCTGAACCCAGGAGGCGGAGGTTGCAGTGAGCCGAGATTGCACCATTGCACTCCAGCCTGGGTAACAAGAGCGAAACACCGTCTCAAAAAAAAAAAAAAAAATCAAAAGTGAAAGTGGAGACATTACTAATGATTCCACATAAACAAAAAGAATTATAATAGGCTGGGTTGGGTGACTCACACCTATAATCCCAGCACTTTGGGAGGCCGAGGCAGGTGGATAGCTTGAGGTCAAGAGTTTGAGACCTGCCTGGCCAAAACGGTGAAAGCCCCTCTCTACTAAAAATACCAAAATTAGCCGGGTATGGTAGCCTACACCTGCAATCCCAGCTATTCAGGAGGCTGAGACAAGATAATCACTTGAACCCAGGAGGCAGAGTCTGCAGTGAGCCGAGATCACACCACTGTACTCAAGCCTGGGTGACAGAGCAAGACTCAGTTTCAAAGAAAGAAAAGAAATTATAAGACAATACTAAGAACAAGTGCCAGCAACTAGGTAGCTTATATAAAATGGAAAAATTTCCAGAAACACAAAACCTGCAAAGACTATATCCTGAAGAAATAGAAAACATGAATAGACTTATAACTGGTAAGAAGATTGAATCAGTAATCAAAAAATCTCTTGAAGCAAAGCTGTGGACCTGATGGCTTCCTCAGTGAATTCTACCAAACATTTAAAGAAATAATAGTAATCCTTCTCAAACTCTTCCAGAAAATTGAAGAAATATGATGGTGGAGCTAAATAAGCATGACTATACAAAACAATAATAATAAACATTTCTATGTGATAAGATTTAACAAAAATAAGATGGAAATAAACATAATATGGGAGAGGTTGATTCGAGCTAGGTTTCTAGGGTTCTTGTATCTTTGGGATAAGAAAAAACATATAGATACACTTTAAACATTATTAAATATGCGTGTTTACATTTCTAGATTAATCAGGACATGTGTAAGTGCCAAACTAGTAGAGGGGGAACATAGAATGAGAAATTTCTGTACCTGTTCTCCATCCAAGCCATCAACACCTTTCGCACCAGGGTTACTCTACAGAGCAAAGGAAGAGCAGAATGTTAGAAATGAGAGGAACAGGTGAATGTGATTATTTCTTCTACGTTAATTTTCTGGTTTATATTTTGTTCAGTTAATAGTAGAATTTAGACTTTACAAAACAGCATTTATATACTGTATCCGATTATTTAAAACAAGGACATATTTCTTCCTGAAATAGTCATTAGGGGTATATACTGGTTTTCCTGACAGTTTCCAATGCTAAAAAGAAAATGATTTTTAAACCTTCAAACTCTGAAGAAATAAAAGGACTTCCTTTTAAACTTTTGCACTGAGAACAAGTAACTCGCAAAAGTGAGCGAAACATTTCCCACTGGTTGTCCACATGATGGTCCTTTTGTCATTTACTTTCTTTAATTTAAAAAGACTAGCAAATATACTTGGATTAATCTATATAATAGAAATCTGGAAGATCACAGATTAAGAAGAAATTAAGTAAGTGTGTGTACATGTCTGTGCATTTCTAACATTTTAGAAAAACTGAAAAACTGAGACTAGGTGATGAGAGTAAAAACAGGCAGGTGCATAATGTATCAAATATTCCATCTCTTTCTAATTATGGGCCCTTCGTTTTCCCAGCTATCTCAAAATAATAGTAAATATATACATCATAGAGTATATGTTGATGAAAAACATTTAGAGTTTTACAGGGAGAATAAAATGTACTTTACATGTGTGGAATAGTTTATTTACTCTTAATATCCACACAATTAAATCAAGTTTCAGGTATTTTTTTTTTAAAACAAGTACAGCTGAGTACCTGAAAATAAGTACACTAAGCTCATGGACTAGAATGACATGATACATTTGCCACAGGCCACAGGAGGTAAATTGGCAATTCCAAAAGACATGCGGAAGGAAGCCCCATGAGCTCTTGCCTGTCTTGTGCATCATTTTGTAACAACTCCCTGGGATAACATGGGGAACAGGGCAGGCACCTGATAAGTATTTCTGAATGCAAATAAAATATATAGTAATTACCCAAGGAGATGAAAGACTTGTGCAAAAAAAAAACCTACAAAATATTTCGTAAAGAAATTAAAGACTTAAAAAAGTAGAAACTCATCCTATGATTATGGACTAGAAGACAATTATTTTTAACATATCAATACTACCAAAAATGATCTATAGATTCAATATAATCCTATGAAAATCCTAATGATACTCTTTACAGAAATAGAAACATTTATCCTAAAATTCATATGGAATATCAAAGTTCCCCGAATAGCCAGAAGAGTCTTGAAAAAGGAACAAATCTGGAGGAGTCACAGTTCCTGGCTTTAAAACTTACCACAGGCCGGGTGCGGTGGCTCACGCCTACAATCCCAGCACTTTGGGAGGCCGAGGCGGGTGGATCACGAGGTCAAGAGATGGAGACCTTCCTGGTCAACATGGTGAAACCTCGTCTCTATTAAAAATACAAAAAATTAGCTGGGCATGGTGGTGCATGCCTGCAGTTCCCGCTACTCGGGAAGCTGAGGCAGGAGAATTGCTTGAACCCAGGAGACGAAGGTTGCGCTGAGCTGAGATCATGCCATTGCACTCCAGCCTGGGTAACAAGAACAAAACTCTGTCTCAAAAAAAAAAGAAAAAACTTACCACAAAGTTATAGTAATCAAAATGGTGTAGTACTGTCATAACCACAGACACAGACCAATGGAAGATATAGACCAATGGAACAGAATAAATAATTCAGAAATAAACCCTTCTATATCTACGGTCAAATGATTTTTGCAAGAGGGTTAAGACCATTTAATGAGGAAAAGAGTCTTTGCAACAACTGGTACTGGGAAAACTGTATATCCACATGCAAAAGAATGAGTTGGACCCTTGCTTAACACCATATACAAACATTTATTTAAATGGATCAAGGATGCACATTTAAAATCTTAAGAAACTATAAGACTCTTAAGAAGAAACATACAGCAAAAGTTTTATGACATTGCATTTGGCAGTGATTTCCTGGATATGATTCTAAGGGCACAGGCTACAAAAGAAAAAAACACACAAATTGAAATTTATAAAAATGAAAAAAAAATTGTGTATTAAAAGATAATATCTTGTATAGCATGATAACTAATAATAAATTATATACCTGAAAACCACTGAGAATTTAAATGTTCTCACTACCAAAAAAATACTTATGTGAGGCTATATGTATGTCAATTAACATGATTTAATCATTTTATACTGTATGCATACATCAAAACACTATGTTGCATACTACAAATATGTATACATTTTATTTGTCAATAAAATATTACTAAAGCTGGGTAGAATTTTTTAAATATATATTTTTAAAGACAATATCAACAGAGTAAAAAGGCAACCCACAGAACAAAATATTTGCAAATCATATATCTGATAATATATTAATATATAGAGAACTCCTAAAACTCAACAATAAAAAATGAACAATCTGATTTAAAAGTGGGCGAAGGACATAAGCAGACACTTCTCTAAAGATAATATGTAAATGACCAATAAGCACATGAAAAATGCTCAACTTCACTAATCATTAGGGAAATGCAAACCAAAACTTACAGTGAGATATCACCCTACACCTGTTAGGAGGGATACTAAATTTTTTTTTAAAACATAGAAAATAACATGTTGACAAGAACATGGAGAAATTGAAATTCTTCTGCACTGTTACTGGAATGCAAAATGTTATAGCCACTGTGGAAAACAGTATGGCAAGACCTCAAATATTAAAAAATAGAATTACCATATGATCCAAAAGTTCCAATTCTTGGTATATACCCCGAAGAATTGAAAACAGTCTTGAAGGGATACTTATACACCAATTTTACAACAGCATTATTCACAATTGCTAAAACAAAGAAGTAACTCAAGTGTTCATCAATGGGATGAATGGATGAGCAAAATGTGGTACATGCCTGTAGTCCCAACTCCTAGGGAAGCTGAGGTGGGAAGACTGCTTGAGTCCAGAAGTTCAAGGTCAGCCTAGGCAACATAGTAAGACCCCATCTCTAAAAACATTTTTTAAATACAAAACTTAAAAAGGAAGGAAATATTGATATATGGTACAACAGGGATGAACCTTGAAGATTTTATGCTAAATGAAGTAAACCAGTCACAAAAATACATACACTATATGATTCCACTTACATGAGATACTTAGAGTAGGCAAAATCATAGAGACAGAAAGTAGAACAGTGTTCCCAGGAGCGGGGAGAAGAGGCAATACGCATTGTTTCATGAGTATGAAGTTTCAGTTTTACAAGATGAGAAGAGTTATGGAGATGAATGGTGGTGATGGTTGCATAACATCATGGATATACTTAATATCACTGAGCTGTAC